TATTTGTCTATTTGGCTGTTAGCTAGTCTTTTGATTTTATAGACAAATTTTGTTCCAATTATATTTGTATTTGTAGGGGGGATAGCATATATCTATGTGTTTTGTTGTTAAAGTGACTGTATTTCATCCTTCATAGCTTTGATCCACTGTTCTTTGTCTATGTGTGTTATAGTATTGTAATATGTTAATGGATTGCTATAGATTTTGTTAAGGAATTTGTTAAATTCTGTTAGATACATAATTAGGTTTATATTGTCTTTGTAATTTAAACCTATAGTTTGTTTAACCAGTCTTTGCTCTTGTGTAGAGTGTTGTATAACAGGTTTTTTATCTTTATTATTGTTATTAGGAAGAGTTTTATCATTGTTTGATGTATCACTGTTATGATTATTCTCCCCTTCAATCCTAGACATTAGTTTGTCTATGAATTGTATGTTACGTTCAACAGTAACTTTATTATTATAGTACACTAAGTGACCTTTACTATTGTTATCATAACCTAACTATTGTGTGTATTAGCCTCTAGGTTGTAGTTTATGTGTTCGTTCGTTCTGTATAATATAATATGCACCAAATTCTCATATATTATCTATTTGATAATGTTTGTTATACTGTTTGTAATATGGTGTTGTAAAATTAATAGCAACTCTTAGTGTTCTGTTATGAATAAATGTTTGATATTGTACTGTATATACTCAGAATTTCATAAGTAACTTTGCTGATAACAGACATGTGTATACACTGTTAAAGATAGTCTTATACATATGTTCTACAACTCTGTTCTACTGTAGTGTATTGTGTACTGTTAATCTACATATTGTTCCTTGACTTTCAATATATGTAGTGAAGTCTTTACTTAGGAACACTGTATTGTTATCACTTTGGAGGGTTTTGACTCTTATACTGTACTGTATAAAGAGTCTTGTTGTATGCTTTACATATTCTGTGAAAGTATTACTTTTATACTGTATAGGTAGTATGGTTACCCATTGTGTAGCATCATCTATAATGGTAAAAAGATATTCATACTTACTGTAAGCTTGTACTAGGGCAGGTCCCCAAATATCAATGTGGAGATGATCTCTATAACATTGTGTAAGAGGTGTTGTTCGTATTTTTGGTATTTCATTGTGTTGTATGTTTGCTTTGATACCATCTGTACACTGTGTATTTTTATTGTCTGTTATCCTTTGACTTATAATCTCAGGATACTCTTGTATGAGTTTGTACAAGTAATCAAAATTAACATGACTCATTTGTCAATGTAAATCAATGATAGTGATTGTGTTAATAGATTGTTTATTATGATGAGAAACTATCATATATAAGTTATTTTGTACATGTATTTCACTAATCTTTGTATGAGTAGGAGAATAAATAATACATTCATTGTTTGTTTTTGTTAAAACATATCCTGCTTTGTATAATAGTGTTTCACTAACAAGTGTGAAGTTCAGATTAGGATGATAGTATACGTTTTGTAGTGAAATTGTATTCACCTTAGTATGCTCATTAGCTTTGTCTTGTAGTTTTATATTAAATGTTATCACTCCACTTTTGCTAAGTGTGAATGATAATTTATTTACAATTGTAATATTTATTAGGGTCAAGTTCTAGACGTTTGTAAGACAGAACAAGTATAGAGTAGTATGTACATTTGTACCAGAGTCCAATATATCAATATAATGTATTAGTTCAGTATCATTGTAATGTATTGTATTGATACATATGTTTGGATTGTAATTAAACTCCTTAATGACTTCTTTTGTATTGTCAAATGAGTTCATGAAGTTGTCTACTTGTATGACACCA